ATGATAACAAAATAGTAGAGGAATCAAAGAAACCTGATAAGATCCATATTATTTTATAACACTATGAAGGCGGGGGGTAATGCATTAGATCGGAAGTGTGTAAATTACAATACTGGTTAGAGAACGAGAAGATGGCCTTGTGCTATTTGGTATCCAACCAGCTTCTGTAAATTCCTTTTTTTTCAGTCTGGGACTGAAAGTTCCATTAGGCGACGAAATTTTATTGTTCCCCTGAGGCAAACTCTAATTTAACTTCGTATGAGAGGACGTTTATCAGATCCAAGACTTCCTAGGGAGCTTCGTTCAGCCATGCAAAGAATCCTAAATTACCAACGACGAATAAAGTAAGCCGTCTACTTCTCAGCCCAGAGTTCTCGATCCTGATGCAGTTGTTAAAGAAAAAAAACGACGTAGGTGTTACATGACAATACACAATGAAAAAAATGTTCTACAATCTGTAATAAGTATGTAAAGTCACAGCGCACTTACATTGTTTCGTGAAAAGTGATAAATGTTAATTATTGTATGTTTCCTTATACGAGAAAGTATTTGTTTTTGTTGTAGAATATCAACACCAAATGTTGTTAAATGGCCCATTTTGTTAGTTTTTTTATGTTCATATTACAGTTCAAGTTTCGAGGATTATATTTATTGCATTACTCATCTTCAATGGGGTATTTTCGTTTTTAGACAATAAACAGTTTTCATGTAAGAGTGTCTTATGCGTACAAACCTGTTGTACACATGGCTAAAAACAGTAATGGCATTTCAGATGTTGATAGTAAGATCCGGTGGATAACCTGTTTTGCGAGATTAGACGTGGGATTTCCAACACGAACACCATCTGTTTATTTGAAGCATTAAAACTGTAATAATCAACAATTTCAGTTTTCCATTGACAATAATGAAGAATTATGAAGGCGATTCATGTAAGGCACTAGGTAACTTCGCGTTGCTTTTAGAAGAGTATTGTCTGAATAGACAACAGTTACCTTGTGATTCTTCACCGAGCTGCATTTTTCAAGTTGAAAAATCGGGTGCTGAAAGTGATGGATCTATAGATTTGTGAGAATTTGCTGCTGCTTCAACTTCTTTTTGTAATAACAATAACAGTCTATATGAAATTTAACAATTCTGTTTCTTCTTTGATTTTGAGTCACCCTGTAAATGTAGCTCTACTAAACTATCGGACCGCATTCATAGCCTACAAGAGAAAAAAATCTTCTATACTGGAAAGGAGGAAAAAAAGAATGTATCAACCTGATACATCTGCCCCTCTTTATAACCCGTGAAATAGCCCTAGTTCTAATTAAATTTCAGTTCAAGCTTCCAAAATGACTTCCAACAATATTAAAGTAGCCACAAAGATCAGACCAATGATCCACCGCGAAGTAGCCGATGGTCTAGAGCGTCTTTGGAACGTAAGAGTAAACTGCATATGGGAAGCCGATGAAAGTAGTCGCCATGGAGAGGTTTATATATTCGACCATGTATTTAATCAGGAATGTACAAATTCAGATGTATATGGATCTGTAGTAAAACCTTTAGTCGATTCCTTCATGGAAGGTTTCAATGCCACAATATTTGCATATGGCCAAACATCTTCTGGCAAAACACACACCATTTTGGGCAATAAAACAGATCCTGGGCTTTTCCAATTAGTATCCAATCAGTTATTCCAGCATGTGGCAGACCAGGTTGATAAGAGGTACTTGATTAGATGCAGTTATATTGAAATCTACAATGAAAAGATCAATGACCTCCTGGATAAGAGCAATCAGGGTTTAACTATGAGAAGATATCAAAGGAAATGTGCTGCTTGATGCAAGGGAAGCTGTCGTAGACAATGTTGATAAAGTTATGGAGAACATGATGCAGGGCAATAAGATCAGACGAGTTGCAGCTACTCGCATGAATGAGAGGTCATCTCGATCACACACGATTTTCCGGATTATTCTGGAGTCGAAAGATGCCAATCAGAAAGATGGACCTGTACATATAAGCTACCTTAACTTAAGGACTTAGCTGGTTCTGAGAGAGTTTCTCTGACGAAAGCTGCTGGTGAGCGTCTTAAAGAGGGGGCTAACATAAACAAATCTTTGTCAGTATTAGGAAATGTGATAAGGCAACTAAGCGAGGGGAAGGAGTTTATCAGTTATCGCGATTCGAAATTGACTAGACTGCTCTCACAGGCTCTTGGCGGTAATGCCAAATCATTGATTATCGGGAATGTTACTTTAGCTGCAGAGGAGGAGACTAGATCTACACCAGAATTCGCCCAAAGCACTAAAACTGTCAAAAATAAAACGAAAGTAAACATCTTGTCAGCTACAGAAGAGACACTTCAAGGATATCAGAACTTGACTCGCGATCTCGAAACTCGGCTCAAAAAGCAGGCAATTAAGCTAAAAGAGATGGATAAAAGCAAACAAGAGTATCTGCTCGAGATAGAAAGACTAAAAACGGAAGTATCTATTGTCGGGCGCTTTCAAATGGGAGCCTCGGCATCAACACCGAAAAAAACATTAAGACGTCATACTTTTGGACACTATGGCAACGTATCACCTAAAAAAGCATCCCTAGGGTATATGCCATTGAAAAATTATCCACCCAAAGAAGAATCATCCGGACGTGAAATGAGGCCTATTCAAGAAGAGACATATGAGGAGGCACTAGCCGAAGCAGAATCTGTGATAGCTGAAGACGTGCAAGTGTACTTAAAAGACAACGCAAAGAACTGGAAGAATCTTTCAATGAGCTTAGAGAATTCACTAAACTAGATAATCAGCTGGAGATTTTGGACCTGAAGAAACAGCTCACAGAAGCCAATTCTAAAATCGATCGTTACAGTCAGGAACTCCGCCAAGTAACGGATGCGTACAACGAAGAAATAGAAAGAGTTCAAAAAAATTCTCAAAAAGCGCAAGAATTTCATCGACTTGCAATACAGACTCGATTTTCTGGAAAAAAATAATAAAAAGACTAAAAACATACGAGTCAGAAATAGAGATGCTGCGTACTCAACTGAAGAACCTAGGAAGATCAGAGAGCCCTAAACCATCTCTTGAAGCTCAAAATATTGAGTCAAAAAAGAAGGTTGCAGACTTAGAAGCTATGCTTGACGCTGAGTACGAAGATATGCAAGATTCTTTAAGTGCTGCTACACAAACTGATGTAACGATGTCACACATTGCTGAACTGCAAGATGAAATTGGCTTCCTAAAAGAACTTGAATCTAAACTGAGAAATGACGTAAAGAGTCTGATGGACGAGAGTAACCAACGTGAGGTCAACCACTCATTTAAAATCTCAGATATACGATGCCATAATGATTCTACTATAAAAGAGCTTCAGGATCAAATGGCTGAACTGGAATGCCAAAACGAAATCTGGATTATGAAAAGTGCCCCTCTTTATAACCCGTGAAATAGCCCTAGTTCTAATTAAATTTCAGTTCAAGCTTCCAAAATGACTTCCACAATATTAAAGTAGCCACAAAGATCAGACCAATGATCCACCGCGAAGTAGCCGATGGTCTAGAGCGTCTTTGGAACGTAAGAGTAAACTGCATATGGGAAGCCGATGAAAGTAGTCGCCATGGAGAGGTTTATATATTCGACCATGTATTTAAGCAGGAATGTACAAATTCAGATGTATATGGATCTGTAGTAAAACCTTTAGTCGATTCCTTCATGGAAGGTTTCAATGCCACAATATTTGCATATGGCCAAACATCTTCTGGCAAAACACACACACCATTTTGGGCAATAAAACAGATCCTGGGCTTTTCCAATTAGTATCCAATCAGTTATTCCAGCATGTGGCAGACCAGGTTGATAAGAGGTACTTGATTAGATGCAGTTATATTGAAATCTACAATGAAAAGATCAATGACCTCCTGGATAAGAGCAATCAGGGTTTAACTATGAGAAGATATCAAAGGAAATGTGCTGCTTGATGCAAGGGAAGCTGTCGTAGACAATGTTGATAAAGTTATGGAGAACATGATGCAGGGCAATAAGATCAGACGAGTTGCAGCTACTCGCATGAATGAGAGGTCATCTCGATCACACACGATTTTCCGGATTATTCTGGAGTCGAAAGATGCCAATCAGAAAGATGGACCTGTACATATAAGCTACCTTAACTTAATGGACTTAGCTGGTTCTGAGAGAGTTTCTCTGACGAAAGCTGCTGGTGAGCGTCTTAAAGAGGGGGCTAACATAAACAAATCTTTGTCAGTATTAGGAAATGTGATAAGGCAACTAAGCGAGGGGAAGGAGTTTATCAGTTATCGCGATTCGAAATTGACTAGACTGCTCTCACAGGCTCTTGGCGGTAATGCCAAATCATTGATTATCGGGAATGTTACTTTAGCTGCAGAGGAGGAGACTAGATCTACACCAGAATTCGCCCAAAGCACTAAAACTGTCAAAAATAAAACGAAAGTAAACATCTTGTCAGCTACAGAAGAGACACTTCAAGGATATCAGAACTTGACTCGCGATCTCGAAACTCGGCTCAAAAAGCAGGCAATTAAGCTAAAAGAGATGGATAAAAGCAAACAAGAGTATCTGCTCGAGATAGAAAGACTAAAAACGGAAGTATCTATTGTCGGGCGCTTTCAAATGGGAGCCTCGGCATCAACACCGAAAAAAACATTAAGACGTCATACTTTTGGACACTATGGCAACGTATCACCTAAAAAAGCATCCCTAGGGTATATGCCATTGAAAAATTATCCACCCAAAGAAGAATCATCCGGACGTGAAATGAGGCCTATTCAAGAAGAGACATATGAGGAGGCACTAGCCGAAGCAGAATCTGTGATAGCTGAAGACGTGCAAGTGTACTTAAAAGACAACGCAAAGAACTGGAAGAATCTTTCAATGAGCTTAGAGAATTCACTAAACTAGATAATCAGCTGGAGATTTTGGACCTGAAGAAACAGCTCACAGAAGCCAATTCTAAAATCGATCGTTACAGTCAGGAACTCCGCCAAGTAACGGATGCGTACAACGAAGAAATAGAAAGAGTTCAAAAAAATTCTCAAAAAGCGCAAGAATTTCATCGACTTGCAATACAGACTCGATTTTCTGGAAAAAAATAATAAAAAGACTAAAAACATACGAGTCAGAAATAGAGATGCTGCGTACTCAACTGAAGAACCTAGGAAGATCAGAGAGCCCTAAACCATCTCTTGAAGCTCAAAATATTGAGTCAAAAAAGAAGGTTGCAGACTTAGAAGCTATGCTTGACGCTGAGTACGAAGATATGCAAGATTCTTTAAGTGCTGCTACACAAACTGATGTAACGATGTCACACATTGCTGAACTGCAAGATGAAATTGGCTTCCTAAAAGAACTTGAATCTAAACTGAGAAATGACGTAAAGAGTCTGATGGACGAGAGTAACCAACGTGAGGTCAACCACTCATTTAAAATCTCAGATATACGATGCCATAATGATTCTACTATAAAAGAGCTTCAGGATCAAATGGCTGAACTGGAATGCCAAAACGAAATCTGGATTATGAAAAGTGCCCCTCTTTATAACCCGTGAAATAGCCCTAGTTCTAATTAAATTTCAGTTCAAGCTTCCAAAATGACTTCCGACAATATTAAAGTAGCCACAAAGATCAGACCAATGATCCACCGCGAAGTAGCCGATGGTCTAGAGCGTCTTTGGAACGTAAGAGTAAACTGCATATGGGAAGCCGATGAAAGTAGTCGCCATGGAGAGGTTTATATATTCGACCATGTATTTAAGCAGGAATGTACAAATTCAGATGTATATGGATCTGTAGTAAAACCTTTAGTCGATTCCTTCATGGAAGGTTTCAATGCCACAATATTTGCATATGGCCAAACATCTTCTGGCAAAACACACACCATTTTGGGCAATAAAACAGATCCTGGGCTTTTCCAATTAGTATCCAATCAGTTATTCCAGCATGTGGCAGACCAGGTTGATAAGAGGTACTTGATTAGATGCAGTTATATTGAAATCTACAATGAAAAGATCAATGACCTCCTGGATAAGAGCAATCAGGGTTTAACTATAAGAGAAGATATCAAAGGAAATGTGCTGCTTGATGCAAGGGAAGCTGTCGTAGACAATGTTGATAAAGTTATGGAGAACATGATGCAGGGCAATAAGATCAGACGAGTTGCAGCTACTCGCATGAATGAGAGGTCATCTCGATCACACACGATTTTCCGGATTATTCTGGAGTCGAAAGATGCCAATCAGAAAGATGGACCTGTACATATAAGCTACCTTAACTTAATGGACTTAGCTGGTTCTGAGAGAGTTTCTCTGACGAAAGCTGCTGGTGAGCGTCTTAAAGAGGGGGCTAACATAAACAAATCTTTGTCAGTATTAGGAAATGTGATAAGGCAACTAAGCGAGGGGAAGGAGTTTATCAGTTATCGCGATTCGAAATTGACTAGACTGCTCTCACAGGCTCTTGGCGGTAATGCCAAATCATTGATTATCGGGAATGTTACTTTAGCTGCAGAGGAGGAGACTAGATCTACACCAGAATTCGCCCAAAGCACTAAAACTGTCAAAAAAAAACGAAAGTAAACATCTTGTCAGCTACAGAAGAGACACTTCAAGGATATCAGAACTTGACTCGCGATCTCGAAACTCGGCTCAAAAAGCAGGCAATTAAGCTAAAAGAGATGGATAAAAGCAAACAAGAGTATCTGCTCGAGATAGAAAGACTAAAAACGGAAGTATCTATTGTCGGGCGCTTTCAAATGGGAGCCTCGGCATCAACACCGAAAAAAACATTAAGACGTCATACTTTTGGACACTATGGCAACGTATCACCTAAAAAAGCATCCCTAGGGTATATGCCATTGAAAAATTATCCACCCAAAGAAGAATCATCCGGACGTGAAATGAGGCCTATTCAAGAAGAGACATATGAGGAGGCACTAGCCGAAGCAGAATCTGTGATAGCTGAAGACGTGCAAGTGTACTTAAAAGACAACTCAAAGAACTGGAAGAATCTTTCAATGAGCTTAGAGAATTCACTAAACTAGATAATCAGCTGGAGATTTTGGACCTGAAGAAACAGCTCACAGAAGCCAATTCTAAATTCGATCGTCGTTACAGTCAGGAACTCCGCCAAGTAACGGATGCGTACAACGAAGAAATAGAAAGAGTTCAAAAAAATTCTCAAAAAGCGCAAGAATTTCATCGACTTGCAATACAGACTCGATTTTCTGGAAAAAAATAATAAAAAGACTAAAAACATACGAGTCAGAAATAGAGATGCTGCGTACTCAACTGAAGAACCTAGGAAGATCAGAGAGCCCTAAACCATCTCTTGAAGCTCAAAATATTGAGTCAAAAAAGAAGGTTGCAGACTTAGAAGCTATGCTTGACGCTGAGTACGAAGATATGCAACATTCTTTAAGTGCTGCTGCACAAACTGATGTAACGATGTCACACATTGCTGAACTGCAAGATGAAATTGGCTTCCTAAAAGAACTTGAATCTAAACTGAGAAATGACGTAAAGAGTCTGATGGACGAGAGTAACCAACGTGAGGTCAACCACTCATTTAAAATCTCAGATATACGATGCCATAATGATTCTACTATAAAAGAGCTTCAGGATCAAATGGCTGAACTGGAATGCCAAAACGAAATCTGGATTATGAAAAAGGACGACGAAATCAGAAAATTGCAACAACTAATTACAAACCCGAAGCAGGCTGGCACTTAACCAGAACCACCTGTGCAGGAAGACGTTGCATTTTATAGGGAGCAAGTTGAGTTCTCCCAGAACATGTACAAAAATGAGATAATAGGTGGAGAGTTACGTATAAACCATAGAGAAAATCTTCAGGCAGTTAAACTAGAAATATGTCTACCCTTGTTTAGTGTTTACGATTATTGCAGGGTTTGGACAAAGTTTAGGGCTGATCCCAGTGCTCACAGTGTACAATTTTCAGCTAATAAATCTTGAATTCTGAGGTAACAAAATCAACTAGAACTCTGAAAAAGTGATTTATCAGAAATCATGCCCTTACTTCCATGATAAGAGGGATTCGTAAAAATTATAAGCAGGTTGTGGCTTATTATCTAGTAAAAGATACAAGAATCCCAGATCTGAAAACGATTATTGTTCATGTGATCACAAACTAGCAGCGACTTGGTTTGTGCGTTGTTGGCACTATTTCTAATCAGGGCGCAACGATCAAAAACGCACTTGAGACGATTTGCTCGGAGAATACTCACGGATCAAGTCCATTCCATTTTATAGTCAATGCTCAGAGTATTTCTACAATTTGTGATGAACCACATTTATTCAAAAATGGATGAAATGCTCTTATTGACATTAATATGAAAGTGAAGAAGCTGCACAGATTGAACATGTCTAGAAATCATATAATGTTGATCAGCAAACAAGACCATACAAAGAGCTATGTAAATTGAAACCCAGCCACTTTGATTTTATAGATTCGTTCAAGAATATAGAAATTAATCCTTTAATGATATCGTCGGATGATTCGAGCTTTCTCAGTTATGTGGTGGGGGTCCCGTGACTTCTCATACGGTATGAGCACGTATACCTCAAACCACAGTTTAATTTAAACATCACAATTGTTGGTTTGTTGACTTTGCGGTCAAATTTGATCCGAGGATGTCAGTTGCGTGTACGATTTGAACTTCCTTCACAATGGATTTTTTCGTTGTTGACGGATGAACAATACACTATAGACTACGCCGAGGACGACGCTGCTATCGATCAACCTGAACAACTTCCTATGGGCGACCTCGCTATGCCTATGGAAAAAACATGTACAATTGGTCAAAACGAGCGCCTGCAACTGGTCGATTATTACGCATTTACCTGAACTAAAGTCCGTGGCAACCAATTTGGAAAATAATAACCCTGTGACTCGAGAAATGCCGATAAATTTCTCCAAATACGTGAAATTTTCGAGACACTCATAGAGAACTGTCGAAATTGTTATATTTCGGGTGAGTCCCCTACAAAATACGAGATGCTCGTGGGCCGATGTCCTTCCTGTGCCTACAAGAAAACTAAACCGAATAAGTATGGACTGATGATGCAAAGACTCACCACTACCTGCTCAATGCTTTCGTCTATACGAACAGAAATATCACAGCAGATGACTGGTTCACGTCAGTAGAATTACATGTAGAATTGCGCATCAACCAACTGACCTATGTCGGCAGGAAGCGTAAAAATAAGTAACAAGTACCCCAACATGTAGTTCCAAATAGAAGGAAACACAGCCAGGTACTTCTAAGTTTATGTTGTACAGCCTTAGAGTAGTATCTTCCAAAACCAAATACACATGTTCTCGTATAGCAATCTATGCAGCATGATAACAAAATAGTAGAGGAATCAAAGAAACCTGATAAGATCCTATATTATTTTTATAACACTATGAGGCGGGGGGTTAATGCATTAGATCGGAAGTGTGTAAATTACAATACTGGTTAGAGAACGAGAAGATGGCCCTTGTGCTATTTGGTATCCAACCAGCTTCTGTAAATTCCTTTTTTTTTCAGTCTGGGACTGAAAGTTCCATTAGGCGACGAAATTTTATTGTTCCCCTGAGGCAAACTCTAATTTAACTTCGTATGAGAGGACGTTTATCAGATCCAAGACTTCCTAGGGAGCTTCGTTCAGCCATGCAAAGAATCCTAAATTACCAACGACGAATAAAGTAAGCCGTCTACTTCTCAGCCCAGAGTTTCTCGATCCTGATGCAGTTGTTAAGAAAAAAACGACGTAGGTGTTACATGACCAATACACAATGAAAAAAATGTTCTACAATCTGTAATAAGTATGTAAAGTCACAGCGCACTTACATTGTTTCGTGAAAAGTGATAAATGTTAATTATTGTATGTTTCCTTATACGAGAAAGTATTTGTTTTTGTTGTAGAATATCAACACCAATATGTTGTTAAATGGCCCATTTTGTTAGTTTTTTATGTTCATATTACAGTTCAAGTTTCGAGGATTATATTTATTGCATTACTCATCTTCAATGGGGTATTTTCGTTTTTAGACAATAAACAGTTTTCATGTAAGAGTGTCTTATGCGTACAAACTGTTGTACACATGGCTAAAAACAGTAATGTCATGTCAGATTGTTGATAGTAAGATCGGTGGATGATACCTGTTTTGCGAGATTAGACGTGGGATTTCCAACACGAACACCATCTGTTTATTTGAAGCATTAAAAACTGTAATAATCAACAATTTCAGTTTTCCATTGACAATAATGAAGAATTATGAAGGCGATTCATGTAAGCACTAGGTAACTTCGCGTGCTTTTAGAAGAGTATTGTTCTGAATAGACAACAGTTACCTTGTGATTCTTCACCGAGCTGCATTTTTCAAGTTGAAAAATCGGGTGCTGAAAGTGATGGATCTATAGATTTGTGAGAATTTGCTGCTGCTTCAACTTCTTTTTGTACTAACAATAACAGTCTATATGAAATTTAACAATTCTGTTTCTTCTTTGATTTTGAGTCACCCTGTAAATGTAGCTCTACTAAACTATCGACCGCATTCATAGCCTACAAGAGAAAAAAATCTTCTATACTGGAAAGGAGGAAAAAAGAATGTATCAACCTGATACATCTGCCCCTCTTTATAACCCGTGAAATAGCCCTAGTTTCTAATTAAATTTCAGTTCAAGCTCCAAAATGACTTCCAACAATATTAAAGTAGCCACAAAGATCAGACCAATGATCCACCGCGAAGTAGCCGATGGTCTAGAGCGTCTTTGGAACGTAAGAGTAAACTGCATATGGGAAGCCGATGAAAGTAGTCGCCATGGAGAGGTTTATATATTCGACCATGTATTAATCAGGAATGTACAAATTCAGATGTATATGGATCTGTAGTAAAACCTTTAGTCGATTCCTTCACTGGAGGTTTCAATGCCACAATATTTGCATATGGCCAAACATCTTCTGGCAAAACACACACCATTTTGGGCAATAAAACAGATCCTGGGCTTTTTCCAATTAGTATCCAATCAGTTATTCCAGCATGTGGCAGACCAGGTTGATAAGAGGTACTTGATTAGATGCAGTTATATTGAAATCTACAATGAAAAGATCAATGACCTCCTGGATAAGAGCAATCAGGGTTTAACTATGAGAAGATATCAAAGGAAATGTGCTGCTTGATGCAAGGGAAGCTGTCGTAGACAATGTTGATAAAGTTATGGAGAACATGATGCAGGGCAATAAGATCCAGACGAGTTGCAGCTACTCCATGAATGAGAGGTCATCTCGATCACACACGATTTTCCGGATTATTCTGGAGTCGAAAGATGCCAATCAGAAAGATGGACCTGTACATATAAGCTACCTTAACTTAATGGACTTAGCTGGTTCTGAGAGAGTTTCTCTGACGAAAGCTGCTGGTGAGCGTCTTAAAGCGGGGGCTAACATAAACAAATCTTTGTCAGTATTAGGAAATGTGATAAGGCAACTAAGCGAGGGGAAGGAGTTTATCAGTTATCGCGATTCGAAATTGACTAGACTGCTCTCACAGGCTCTTGGCGGTAATGCCAAATCATTGATTATCGGGAATGTTACTTTAGCTGCAGAGGAGGAGACTAGATCTACACCAGAATTCGCCCAAAGCACTAAAACTGTCAAAAATAAAACGAAAGTAAACATCTGTCAGCTACAGAAGAGACACTTCAAGGATATCAGAACTTGACTCGCGATCTCGAAACTCGGCTCAAAAAGCAGGCAATTAAGCTAAAAGAGATGGATATAAAAGCAAACAAGAGTATCTGCCTCGAGATAGAAAGACTAAAAACGGAAGTATCTAATTGTCGGGCGCTTTCAATGGAGCCTCGGCATCAACACCGAAAAAAACATTAAGACGTATACTTTTGGACACTATGGCAACGTATCACCTAAAAAGCATCCCTAGGGTATATGCCATTGAAAAATTATCCACCCAATAGAAGAATCATCCGACGTGAAATGAGGCCTATTCAAGAAGAGACATATGAGGAGGCACTAGCCGAAGCAGAATCTGTGATAGCTGAAGGACGTGCAAGTGTACTTAAAAGACAACGCAAAGAACTGGAAGAATCTTTCAATGAGCTTAGAGAATTCACTAAACTAGATAATCAGCTGGAGATTTTGGACCTGAAGAAACAGCTCACAGAAGCCAATTCTAAAATCGATCGTTACAGTCAGGAACTCCGCCAAGTAACGGATGCGTACAACGAAGAAATAGAAAGAGTTCAAAAAATTCTCAAAAGCGCAAGAATTTCATCGACTTGCAATACAGACTCGATTTCTGGAAAAAAATAATAAAAGACTAAAAACATCCGAGTCAGAAATAGAGATGCTGCGTACTCAACTGAAGAACCTAGGAAGATCAGAGAGCCCTAAACCATCTCTTGAAGCTCAAATATTGAGTCAAAAAAGCAGGTTGCAGACTTAGAAGCTATGCTTGACGCTGAGTACGAAGATATGCAAGATTCTTTAAGTGCTGCTACACAAACTGACGTAACGATGTCACACATTGCTGAACTGCAAGATGAAATTGGCTTCCTAAAAGAAATTGAATCTAAACTGAGAAATGACGTAAAGAGTCTGATGGAACGAGAGTAACCAACGTGAGGTCAACCACTCATTAAAATCTCAGATATACGATGCCATAATGATTCTACTATAAAGAGCTTCAGGATCAAATGGCTGAACTGGAATGCCAAAACGAAATCTGGATTATGAAAAGTGCCCTCTTTATTAACCCGTGAATAGCCCTAGTTCTAATTAAATTTCAGTTCAAGCTTCCAAATGACTTCCGACAATATTAAAGTAGCCACAAAGATCAGACCAATGATCCACCGCGAAGTAGCCGATGGTCTAGAGCGTCTTTGGAACGTAAGAGTAAACTGCATATGGGAAGCCGATGAAAGTAGTCGCCATGGAGAGGTTTATATATTCGACCATGTATTTAAGCAGGAATGACAAATTCAGATGTATATGGATCTGTAGTAAAACCTTTAGTCGATTCCTTCATGGAAGGTTTCAATGCCACAATATTTTGCATATGGCCAAACATCTTCCTGGCAAAACACCACACCATTTTTGGGCAATAAAACAGATCCTGGGCTTTTCCAATTAGTATCCAATCAGTTATTCCAGCATGTGGCAGACCAGGTTGATAAGAGGTACTTGATTAGATGCAGTTATATTGAAATCTACAATGAAAAGATCAATGACCTCCTGGATAAGAGCAATCAGGGTTTAACTATAAGAGAAGATATCAAAGGAATGTGCTGCTTTGATGCAAGGGAAGCTGTCGTAGACAATGTTGATAAAGTTATGGAGAACATGATGCAGGGCAATAAGATCAGACGAGTTGCAGCTACTCGCATGAATGAGAGGTCATCTCGATCACACACGATTTTCCGATTATTCTGGAGTCGAAAGATGCCAATCAGAAAGATGGACCTGTACATATAAGCTACCTTAACTTAATGGACTTAGCTGGTTCTGAGAGAGTTTCTCTGACGAAAGCTGCTGGTGAGCGTCTTAAAGAGGGGGCTAACATAAACAAATCTTTGTCAGTATTAGGAAATGTGATAAGGCAACTAAGCGAGGGAAGGAGTGTTTATCAGTTATCGCGATTCGAAATTGGACTAGACTGCTCTCACAGGCTCTTGGCGGTAATGCCCAAATCATTGATTATCGGGAATGTTACTTTAGCTGCAGAGGAGGAGACTAGATCTACACCAGAATTCGCCCCAAAGCACTAAAACTGTCAAAAATAAACGAAAGTAAACATCTTGTCAGCTACAGAAGAGACACTTCAAGGATATCAGAACTTGACTCGCGATCTCGAAAACTCGGCTCAAAAAGCAGGCAATTAAGCTAAAGAGATGGATAAAAGCAAACAAGAGTATCTGCTCGAGATAGAAAGACTAAAAACGGAAGTATCTATTGTCGGGCGCTTTCAAATGGGAGCCTCGGCATCAACACCGAAAAAAACATTAAGACGTCATACTTTTGGACACTATGGCAACGTATCACCTAAAAAAGCATCCCTAGGGTATATGCCATTGAAAATTATCCACCCAAAGAAGAATCATCCGGACGTGAAATGAGGCCTATTCAAGAAGAGACATATGAGGAGGCACTAGCCGAAGCAGAATCTGTGATAGCTGAAGACGTGCAAGTGTACTTAAAAGACAACTCAAAAGTAACTGGAAGAATCTTTCAATGAGCTTAGAGAATTCACTAAACTAGATAATCAGCTGGAGATTTTGGACCTGAAGAAACAGCTCACAGAAGCCAATTCTAAATTCGATCGTTACAGTCAGGAACTCCGCCAAGTAACGGATGCGTACAACGAAGAATAGAAAGAGTTCAAAAAAATTCTCAAAAGCGCAAGAATTTCATCGACTTGCAATTACAGACTCGATTTCTGGAAAAAAATAATAAAAAGACTAAAAACATACGAGTCAGAAATAGAGATGCTGCGTACTCAACTGAAGAACCTAGGAAGATCAGAGAGCCCTAAACCATCTCTTGAAGCTCAAAAATATTGAGTCAAAAAAGAAGGTTGCAGACTTAGAAAGCTATGCTTGACGCTGAGTACGAAGATATGCAACATTCTTTAAGTGCTGCTGCACAAACTGATGTAACGATGTCACACATTGCTGAACTGCAAGATGAAATTGGCTTCCTAAAAGAACTTGAATCTAAACTGAGAAATGACCGTAAAGAGTCTGATGGACGAGAGTAACCAACGTGAGGTCAACCACTCATTTAAATCTCAGATATACGATGCCATAATGATTCTACTATAAAAGAGCTTCAGGATCAAATGGCTGAACTGGAATGCCAAAACGAAATCTGGATTATGAAAAAGGACGACGAAATCAGAAAATTGCAACAACTAATTACAAACCGAAGCAGGCTGGCACTTAACCAGAACCACCTGTGCAGGAAGACGTTGCATTTTATAGGGAGCAAGTTGAGTTCTCCCAGAACATGTACAAAAATGAGATAATAGGTGGAGAGTTACGTATAAACCATAGAGAAAATCTTCAGGCAGTTAAACTAGAAATATGTCTACCCTTGTTTAGTGTTTACGATTATTGCAGGGTTTGGACAAAGTTTAGGGCTGATCCCAGTGCTCCACAGTGTACAATTTTCAGCTAATAAATCTTGAATTCTGAGGTAACAAAATCAACTAGAACTCTGAAAAAGTGATTTATCAGAAATCATGCCCTTACTTCCATGATAAGAGGGATTCGTAAAAAATTATAAGCAGGTTGTGGCTTATTATCTAGTAAAAGATAAAAGAATCCCAGATCTGAAAAACGATTATTGTTCATGTGATCACAAAACTAGCAGCGACTTGGTTTGTGCGTTGTTGGCACTATTTCTAATCAGGGCGCAACGATCAAAAACGCACTTGAGACGATTTGCTCGGAGAATACTCACGGATCAAGTCCATTCCATTTTATAGTCAATGCTCAGAGTATTTCTACAATTTGTGATGAACCACATTTATTCAAAAATGGATGAAATGCTCTTATTGACATTAATATGAAAGTGAAGAAGCTGCACAGATTGAAAATGTCTAGAAATCATATAATGTTGATCAGCAAACAAGACCATACAAAGAGCTATGTAAATTGAAACCCAGCCACTTTGATTTTATAGATTCGTTCAAGAATATAGAAATTAATCCTTAATGATATCGTCGGATGATTCGAGCTTTCTCAGTTATGTGGTGGGGGTCCCGTGACTTCTCATACGGTATGAGCACGTATACCTCAAACCACAGTTTAATTTAAACATCACAATTGTTGTTTGTTGACTTGCGGTCAAATTTGATCCGAGGATGTCAGTTGCGTGTACGATTTGAACTTCCTTCACAATGGATTTTTTCGTTGTTGACGGATAATGAACAATACACTATAGACTACGCCGAGGACGACGCTGCTATCGATCAACCTGAACAACTTCCTATGGGCGACCTCGCTATGCCTATGGAAAAAACATGTACAATTGGTCAAAACGAGCGCCTGCAACTGGTCGATTATTACGCATTTACCTGAACTAAAGTCCGTGGCAACCAATTTGGAAATAATAACCCTGTGACTCGAGAAATGCCGATAAATTTCTCCAAATACGTGAAATTTTCGAGACACTCATAGAGAACTGTCGAAATTGTTATATTTCGGGTGAGTCCCCTACAAAATACGAGATGCTCGTGGGCCGATTGTCCTTCCTGTGCCTACAAGAAAACTAAACCGAATAAGTATGGACTGATGATGCAAAGACCTCACCACTACCTGCTCAATGCTTTCGTCTATACGAACAGAAATATCACAGCAGATGACTGGTTCACGTCAGTAGAATTACATGTAGAATTGCGCATCAACCAACTGACCTATGTCGGCAGGAAGCGTAAAAATAAGTAACAAGTACCCCCCAACATGTAGTTCCAAATAAGAAGGAAAACCCAGCACGGTACTTCTAAGTTTATGTTGTAAAGCCTTAGAGTAGTATCTTCCAAAACCAAATACACATGTTCTCGTATAGCAATCTATGCAGCATGATAACAAAATAGTAGAGGAATCAAAGAAACCTGATAAGATCCTATATTATTTTTATAACACTATGAAGGCGGGGGGGAATGCATTAGATCGAAGTGTGTAAATTACAAATACTGGTTAGAGAACGAGAAGATGGCCTTGTGCTATTTGGTATCCAACCAGCTTCTGTAAATTCCTTTTTTTTCAGTCTGGGACTGAAAGTTCCACTTAGGCGACGAAATTTTATTGTTCCCCTGAGGCAAACTCTAATTTAACTTCGTATGAGAGGACGTTATCAGATCCAAGACTTCCTAGGGAGCTTCGTTCAGCCATGCAAAGAATCCTAATATCTACCAACGACGAATAAAAGTAAGCCGTCTCACTTCTCAGCCAGAGTTCTCGATCCTGATGCAGTTGTTAAAGAAAAAAAACGACGTAGGTGTTACATGACCATACACAATGAAAAAAAATGTTCTACAATCTGTAATAAGTATGTAAAGTCACAGCGCACTTACATGGTTTCGTGAAAAGTGACTAAATGTTAATTATTGTATGTTTCCTTATACGAGAAAGTATTTGTTTTTGTTGTAGAATATCAACACCAAATATGTTGTTAAATGGCCATTTTGGTTAGTTTTTTTATGTTCATATTACAGTTCAAGTTTCGAGGATTATATTTATTGCATTACTCATCTTCAATGGGGGTATTTTCGTTTTTATGACATAAACAGTTTTCATGTAAGAGTGTCTTATGCGTACAAACCTGTTGTACACATGGCTAAAAACAGTAATGGCATTTCAGATGTTGATAGTAAGATCCGGTGGATAACCTGTTTTGCGAGATTAGACGTGGGATTTCCAACACGAACACCATCTGTTTATTTGAAGCATTAAAAACTGTAATAATCAACAATTTCAGTTTTTCCATTGACAATAATGAAGAATTATGAAGGCGATTCATGTAAGGCACTAGGTAACTTCGCGTTGCTTTTAGAAGATTATTGTCTGAATAGACAACAGTTACCTGTGATTCTTCACCGAGCTGCATTTTTCAAGTTGAAAATCGGGTGCTGAAAGTGATGGATCTATAGATTTGTGAGAATTTGCTGCTGCTTCAACTTCTTTTTGTAATAACAATAACAGTCTATATGAAATTTAACAATTCTGTTTCTTCTTTGATTTTGAGTCACCCTGTAAATGTAGCTCTACTAAACTATCGGACCGCATTCATAGCCTACAAGAGAAAAAAAATCTTCTATACTGGAAAGGAGGAAAAAAAGAATGTATCAACCTGATACATATGCCCCTCTTTATAACCCGTGAAATAGCCCTAGTTCTAATTAAAATTTCAGTTCAAGCTTCCAAAATGAACTTCCAACAATATTAAGTAGCCACAAAGATCAGACCAATGATCCACCGCGAAGTAAGCCGATGGTCTAGAGGCTCTTTGAAACGTAAAGAGTAAAACTGCATATGGGAAGCCGATGAAAGTAGTCGCCATGGAGAGTTTATATATTCGACCATGTATTTAATCAGGAATGTTACAAATTCAGATGTATATGGATCTGTAGTAAAACCTTTAGTCGATTCCTTCATGGAAGGTTCAATGCCACAATATTTGCATATGGCCAAACATCTTCTGGCAAACACACACCATTTTGGGCATAAAACAGATCCTGGGGCTTTTTCCAATTAGTATCCATCAGTTATTCCAGCATGTGGCAGACAGGTTGATAAGAGGTACTTGATTAGATGCAGTTATATTGAAATCTACAATGAAAAGATCAATGACCTCCTGGATAAGAGCAATCAGGGTTTAACTATGAGAAGATATCAAAGGAAATGTGCTGCTTGATGCAAGGGAAGCTGTCGTAGACAATGTTGATAAAGTTATGGAGAACATGATGCAGGGCA